CTGTTTGAATTGATAAATTTATAAGTAATATTCAGTCATATTAACACTTAATTATAATTGTTAAACAAATGAATGTTTTACTGATTTTCTATTGTTTCCTTTTTTTGTTCTAGGACTGGGCTAATGCTAACGTCAGCAGGCAGATTGAGGACACTGTATTATATGGTTACTATAGTAAGTATCTTTTAGTTTCATTTCCTATCTGGGTTGCTAACCAAAAATGTAGAATAAAGCTACATAAAAAATTTTAATTTTGAATACCTCATTTAAGATTACTGTTCAATACCAGGAATAAGTAATATAGCATTCATTCTCATAATTCTGTAACTTCTTTTACCTGCTTTGCTTCATTTAGGTTCACTTGTAGCACTTCTTTGTAGAGGTTCAGTCAAGTTACTTTAAATCTCAGGTCCCTTCCTTTGTTATCCTTAGCAATTGCCCACTTGTACTCTTGATTCGAAAAAAGTCTCAGTTTCCTAGAAATTTCTTCTAAGTATGTATTGGCACTGGTACAGCGTTCCCTCGGGGGAGTATGTAGCACCAAGTGTACTGTACTGTACAGAGCTAGTTTAATTCAGAGGATTATGGTTGATTGGTCCTTCTCTCCTTCCCTTCCGCTTTCCTCCCTAATGGTGGATTAGAAAAGCTTTATAATAACCACCTAAATGTTTCCAAAACTTTCTCTTTGAATAAACATAAGACTTGAGCTTTTATAAAAACGTGTTAGGAAAGGGATGTCATTTTTTTTTTCCCCCCTCACACTTAATCAAGATGTTGAATAAGGTTTCAGGACACTAAATTGGAAACTGAAAAAGCACCTGCAGAAGTTTCTATTGATGGGATAATTTTTTTAAGGGTTTTATTGGATTTTAATTTAGCTGTTTTGGCTCTAACCTTTGCCTTTTCTCTTGATCTGAAATCTATAAGACCCATGAAATCCTACCCCTTTAGTGTAGATTTTAGAAATGTTCTTATGGTTTTTTAATATAGAATGTTTCTTTCTGATGAATGCATTAAATATATATTATAAAGTTTAAATTTGACCAGTTAAGTTAAAACTTTTGAACTGGTACTGTATTAAGCGGAATGTTGTCTTTTCAATACAAATTTATTGGGAGGATATAAATTATGTCATCAAAAACAATTTTGGGGTAAAAGCTGTGTCTCCTATGTGACATTAAAGTGTATTTATGCTGTAGGACATGTGACAAGATAAGCCAAATTTTACCTTAGTGCAGTCCAGGTCCGTAGAGCATATTTTATCATTGAACCTAGAGGTTACTGGATTAATCTAATATAGCCAAGGTTAGAAAGACTTCCAACTGGAATGTTAATTCATGCAGCCTTTTCTGTTGGTTTCCTGAAGAGAATTAAGCCTACAGGAAATGATTTTAGTGAGTGTCTTTCTCAATCGTCCCAGAATAGTGTGTCCCTAGGATCATTTTAAATGCATGGGAGCTAACTTAATCATTATAAACAGTAGATGACTTAGGGATTTAGGGTGTGATTCCCTGTAGAACTTTGGTNGGGGGGGGGGGGGTCTCACAGTGAAAGGGTTGGCTGTAAATTGTATGGGCACTTAGCAGAAGGAAGAACTAACATTTGAATACAGATGGAATCTAGATTTTAGATTTGGCAGTAAGCTGAGTGAGCTCTTGTCTTTTACTTTAGATACCTTTTAAATCAGCGTTTTTCAACCGTTGACTTTTTATGCTGGGTAATTCTTTGTTGTGGGGATTGCCCTGTTCAGTGTAGATGTTTAGCAGATCCTTGTCTCTGCCTACGAGATTCCCAGTAGCATCCTGATCTCCCTGCCACCCCATGTCTCCAGACATTGTCTAATGTCCCATGGGGAGCAAAATCACCTGAGTGAGAACACTGGTCTGAGAGAGGTTACCAGGTTAAATTGAAGAGAGTCAACTATAGTTTTGGGCTGGGCTGGGCTGAGTGTTTCAAAAAGTCATCTTGAAGAATGGGGAAGGGAATTTTATTTTGTGACTCATGACATCTTTGTTCTGTGGACTATATGTTCTTTTCCTGTCTTCTGAAATGTTCTCTACTATTCTCCATTTAGTATTACTTCTTGTCTTACATGCCTTTGGGCCTTAAATGACTGAAGTTCTTTTTGGTCTCTACTCCGGGATGCAGTAGTTTATAAAATGTATCAAGGGCATAGTGATTCTCAAAATGTAGAAGACAGAAGGTTTCATGAACTAATCTCTTTTGACAGTACATCAGATACTTTGGAAGCAAGACAGTGTATAAAAGCCAAATACGCTAATAGTACTTGAATGATGTTGTATATTTTACACATATTTTTGGTTTTAAAATAGTAACAGTAATACTCTTTTATTGCCACAAGATTTGTTTAAATAAAAGAACCCTGCAGAGTAAAATATACGAAATTTCAATGAATCTTTGGATTTAAATTACTTTCAGACTTTCTACATTTTAAGGTTTTTTTTTTTCCCCTCTGAGGTTATGGTCTTGTTCAGTTTCAAAGTTTAACTTTTAACAGATTCTCAATGGGTACAGTAATAAATACCTCATGGGGTTGTCTTGGAAATGGTAAAGGAACTTGTGTAGGGATACATATAATTATCCTATTTCAAAAAATGTTCAAGTTTCAAAAATCTTTTTAAACTTTATTTTGATGTATAAACAATCACTAAAGAAATACAGCTACTAGGAGCTGAAGCTTTGATCATGTACATATTCATTTGATACTTCACTCATCCATGAAAAAATTTCTGATCATTGCATAAAATTCTCCACAGTGCTTTTCCATTCCCATGCAGTGAGTGCTATTTACACTTTATTTCCATTTTTCTGTATATGTACGGGTGTTTCTTTCAGTACATATTTTAGACACAGACTGCATGTGTTAAAACTATTGGTTGTGGGCCGGCNATTGTTGCAAATGCAGATTTTCTGGCTCCACTCCAGACCCCTTGAATTTGAAACTCTGGGACTGGGGCCCAGCAATCTGTGCTTTAATAAGTATTCCTGGTGATTCTGATGTTATCTTAAGTTAAAGAATCTCAAAACTAAAGTCCTATACTGTGTGTTAACTGGTAGGATGGAATTGGTAACTTTTAAGAGTACCAGGTGGATTAGAGATGTCAACCTCAGGGCCTCTGAGTGTACTGTTTCACTGCCAAGTTCCTTGCAATGTACATTTATCTATTTTCAATGTTCACTTTTCTTTGTTTAATGCCCTTTAAAATTTGAATTATAGTATAATGTGTAAATTGCATAGTGATTATTGGCAGCTAATCTTTAGCCGAATGGTATTCTTGAACTGTTATAATGGGGCAGAAGTTAATTTCAGTTCAAGTTGTATTCTATGATGCTTCAGTAGCAAGCTTAGGGTAGAACATCTAGTTTTATCTCCCTTAGGTTGCGGAGATCTATAGGGAATAAGTATTCAAAGCTTGTTATAATTGTGATATTTTGTGAAACCATTAATGATTACACTATGTTCGGTAAGGATATATGTCACTGAACATTGTTATCGATAACTATTCCTTGTTTTTGTGTCTTTGCGCCTGAGTTTGTACTGCATTCATGAAGTACGCTTTGAAATGATCAATCTTGAACAAGTTTATAAGAGGCAGTAGACCTACTTTACACGTCTAAAAGGACCTTTACCTGACATAAAGTTTCCAATTGGAAACTTGCAAAGACATGCTAAAATAAGTTTAGAGAATACATAGGGCAATAACAAAACATTTCTTTTTGTTCTGTTTCAGGCTATTTTGGCATTCTGCTGGATATATGTTCGTAAATACCAAAGTCAGCGGGAAAGTGAAGTTGTCTCCACCATAACAGCAATTTTTTCTCTGGCAATTGCACTTATCACGTCAGCACTTGTACCAGTGGATATATTTTTGGTTTCTTATATGAAAAATCAAAATGGTACATTTAAGGTAATTATTATCATACTGTATGATTTTATTCCTTTAAATTCTTGGCAATTAAGTGTTTAATCGTTGAAGTCCAGCATATATTATGCTTTATTGTTGTCTCTGGGAATACATGAGAATGCAGCCTGGGGCTGAGAATGTGACATCTAACATGGAAGACTAGAAACAGACTGTTAACTGACATAAGAACTATTAATTTGATAGCCCTCAAAATGCAAAGAATGCCTTTTGTTAATCTGAAAACTATATTAAGTACTTGTAGGTTTTATTTTTGTGCCTCTTACAGCTTGAAGTTTATTTGACTTGACTTGCGTTAATGCACTAAATAAATAATTTAGAAGGGCTGTTGTTAGTTGCAGATCAGAATCTTAATCTGTATTTCATATTGAGTACTTTGGTCAGTATGGTATAGTAAAAAGACACTAGGCTGGGAATTACAAGGCCTGAGTTGTAGTCTTGGGTCTTTCCCCCAATACTTTGATATCTTTCCTTTTGATATTTAAGACACCCTGTGTTTCCCTTTCTTTTTCTTTTGTTTTGGGGTGTGGGGCTTGTGAAATTCACAAGAGTTTTCATTTGAAGCTGGCCTATGCTAACGCTCAAAAGTAGAACTGAAAGACTTTTGAAGAACTTTTTCCCAATAAACTGTAGAATGTTATTTTCTCCAAAATGTTATTGATGAATTAACTTGAGGTACTTGTTGAAAGACAAGTACAAGTATTTAGGAATTAGTTTTTCAGACTTCATGCCACAATTGTAACTGTAGCCATGTTAGAGTGAAAAGTATGCCACAGTGGCTTTAATGTGGCCCACGCTTAGGATAACTGTACAAATTTGACCTTGTTTNATCCAGCTTTAGTGATATGTAGTGGGAAGCAGAGAAGTGTTTTAGATAATTGTGGATGTTTTTCTTTAATATTACACCAAAACTCAATAAGTAGAAGCTTCTTAAAGGTTAGCTGCAATATGGGATCTGAAATTCTATCAATGTACTTTTCGTTCTGTTTCATTAAGATTGTACTTTGAATGGATCTTTTCACCATGCATGGTTTTATTATAACACATATTTGGTCATTTAGAAAATACTGGAAATACTGGTTCACTGAGTTATGCAAATCTTCCAAATACAGCTATATTTCATTACATAATATCAAACTTTCACATTCATTAATATCACCACTGACCTTGTCAGAAGAAACCTCATAAATAAGTATTGAGAAACTGTCAAGCTCACAGTTTTGGATATAAGTTTTCCAGAATTCTAATTTTTCACTAGAAAGCTTGAATTTTATCATTGGCAACAAGTACTGTCAGCTGTTTTTCTTGAAGTGATCGGTTCCCTTTGTTCATTTCCACAAAATCTGCCAAGTATCCAAGTTTGAATAACCATAGTTAGGTCAGTTGTGCTTTCAAGTAACAATGATGTTCCTTGCAAACAGTGCCTGGTTTGGTTTCCAGCTCAAGCATTGCAAACAGTGCCTGGTTTGTTTTCTAGCTCAAGCATTGAGGTACCTACCTTTCTTGGAGACAGACATCATGCCTCAATTTGCAGCAGAAGAACTTAAATGCATACTTTGTATTTCCCTCCACAAAGCATTAAAAAGACTCAAGGATTGAAGTTTAATAAAGTTAATTTTTATTGTTTCATCAAGCACAGTCTTAAGTTAAATTGTTTTTTTTTTTCTTCTGTCAGTATGTGATGGTGAAGAATACAATAACCACTAGCACAGTTTGGTGCCATTGTCTATTCATGCTTAATTTGCCAACAGTTTTACCAACCATGGGTTATGAACATGTGTGCAAATATCAGTGTAGTGAAAAAGGCAAATGACATTTTAGTATTATGAGAATAATTTTCAAATTGCAAATCCTCAGAAAGTGTTTTGGGACTGCCAGGGGTTTGGGGACTTCACACTTGGAGAACCACTGCCAGTAATCTACATAGAATCAGAACACTAAGTTAAATGACTTTTGTGATCTTGGGCAAACAGAATGGACTTGTTTCTTCTGCCATGCCACATAAGGAATGGTTAGATCTGGTTACTCCAAGCCTGTAGTCTATCTGTGTTTACTGTATCAAATGTAAACCTAGTCACCCCACCCCCACCCCAAGATCCTCAATAATTTGGCTTGNTTTCGTCCCTTTTAACCTTTAGGGTGCGCGGGCGCCGCGGCCCTTGCACTCTCTCCCCTTTCCCCACCCCTTCGGCTCCAGGCGGGCCGGGCCGGAAGCGAAGATGGCGGCGGCGGCGGAGGCTGCCGGCGCTGCCTCTGCGGAGCTGGTGATCGGCTGGTGCATTTTCGGCCTCCTACTACTGGTAGGGGAGGCGCTTGGAGTTTTCCCAAGGCTTAGCCTGGTGGGAGAGAGGGAGGGGCCGGCCTGCAGCTGGCCTCTCCGGGGCTGGGTGACCCTCCACGCCCCGCCCCGCTTTTAGCTTGGACTGGGGGTCTCCTCGGCGCCGGAATGGGGCGGCGCTGGGGATGGGGGGAGGAGGCACTGATTTCCGGCTGCTTTTGTAGTCTTTCCACTGATGACGTCTAGTATCGTAGGTTTCCTTTCTCGAAACTCTCCCTCATCCCTGACTTGAGCCTGGGGCGGATGGAGTTTGGGGACGGAGGAGACCCTCGGGCTTGAGAAGGTGTGATGGCCTCTGGCACCTTGTCAGAGGGGAGCACACAGTGGTGGGCACCTGATCCCCGCAAGTTCAGTAGGCGCTGGCGTCGTTGACGCGCAGGGGGGGCCCCTCTGCTTCTCTACACCCCCCACCCCCATTCCTTACCCTTGGGGTTGTTGTCTCCAACCTTCCCATTGTGTGATTCTGTCTTGATGACGCGAGTTGTTCGTTCCGACTTAGAAGTTTCACATTCCTTTCCAGTCTACTGATAGGGGTAGAAACCTGTGTAGAGCAAGCTGTAGCCCTCTTTACTGCCGGTATGAAAGTATATATACTACCATGTATGTATAGGTGCCTTCTTCCCCAGCCTTCTTGTTCCTGCTTATCCAGTGAGCAAAACGTAGACCTAATGGCCTAGATGGTCTAGTTTTTACTTCCCTACCCTATGTAAAAACCCCTGGGTATTTTTTCGGGGGTGGGGGGGTGGGGTGGGGAAGTTCATGTTTCTCTTCATACTCTTCCCCTATTAACACTCTTTCCTCATTGTTCATTCTGTCCTGTTGTTGCTTCATTTCTCTAATTATTTTTGCCACTGTATTACGAAAACGAAAACAAAAATCAAACCCAAAATACCTTTAACTTTAGTTCTGGAAGTCAAGACTTGTTTAATTTTACTTATTAGATGCCGCTACGTTTCTGCAACCTATGTAGTATGTTTTGCTAATGTTACGTTAGACACTACCAAAAAAATTTAAAAAGTGAAAGCTTAAGGAAAGGCTTCTCTTGCTACCTTCACTTTCCCAGAAAACAATACTGCCTTTACACTGGAACATGCTTTACTCCTGTTGATGGAGAAAATGGAAACCCTAAAGGTTGGCTGTGGTCTCCAAAGCCCCATCCAGCCCTGTACTTGGAGAGCTCATTGGCCTTCCCAGACTTTCATATTCATTTGGCTTAGAAGAGAACAAGCGAGTTTGTAACCAGTATCAAAATCTAGTGGGAATATCTTGNTTATGGTTTTTTAATATAGAATGTTTCTTTCTGATGAATGCATTAAATATATATTATAAAGTTTAAATTTGACCAGTTAAGTTAAAACTTTTGAACTGGTACTGTATTAAGCAGAATGTTGTCTTTTCAATACAAATTTATTAGGAGGATATAAATTATGTCATCAAAAACAATTTTGGGGTAAAAGCTGTGTCTCCTATGTGACATTAAAGTGTATTTATGCTGTAGGACATGTGACAAGATAAGCCAAATTTTACCTTAGTGCAGTCCAGGTCCGTAGAGCATATTTTATCATTGAACCTAGAGGTTACTGGATTAATCTAATATAGCCAAGGTTAGAAAGACTTCCAACTGGAATGTTAATTCATGCAGCCTTTTCTGTTGGTTTCCTGAAGAGAATTAAGCCTACAGGAAATGATTTTAGTGAGTGTCTTTCTCAATTGTCCCAGAATAGTGTGTCCCTAGGATCATTTTAAATGCATGGGAGCTAACTTAATCATTATAAACAGTAGATGACTTAGGGATTTAGGGTGTGATTCCCTGTAGAACTTTGGTTGTAATGGGAGATATAACTACCTTGTGATAGGATCATTGAGACATTGATCTAAGGAAGAAATTTGCATGAGAAGCCAAATTACGAATAGATTTCTTGATGACCATGGAATCAAAGCAGGAAGATTTAATTTGATAATATTAACGATTGTTGTCATAAAGTCGGCCATATTTATTTTAGCTATGGCTAATAAGCCTTTGACTTTGACTCAGATGGTGGCCTACAGCTAGGAGCCTGAAAGGACTGTATAGTTTCTAACACAGTCACTATCCTGAAGCTCAGCTGTTTCTCCAGAAATGCTAGTTACTGTCTGACTACTTACTAGATGTTCTCCTGGATCCTGAGGACTACACAAAATCCACATAATCCAAAATGCGGTTAATCCATCCCCTCTGTGAGATTCTATGCTTCATCTCATCTCTCCTAATATATCAACACATCGGTGTTGTCTAACCTTGCCAGGCACTGTGCAAGACTCACACATTGAACATTTTATTTGATTTTCATTAGTGTCATTTTTTTGGAGGTATTTTTTTTACATTTTGCAGATGAGGAAATTGATACTTAAAGATGTTAAGGATCACCTCATTAACGAGTGACATAGTCCAAAGTGGATATTATTTCCTAAACTGGAGCTGCTTGCCATTAAATGAGCTGCCTTTTAATAATTCTGGGGATGTTACCTATGGGAATGCTTAGCAGCACTGAGCTCCCAGGGCCACTTCAAGAATCACCTGGGGCTCTTTAAATAATAGTAGGACTAGATTACATCCCGAGAACTTCTGATTTCTTTTGGCATTTTGTTAATATCACCACTGTTGTCATCAGAAAAATGCTATATATATTGGAAAGATGTAAAGCTCAAAATGTGGTGGATTCAGGGTTTCTAAAAATTCTAATTTTTTTATTGAAAGCTCAAGTTTTATCATTGGCAAAAAATACTCTCACTGTCTTTGAAGTAGCAGGCTCACTTTATTCATTTTTGAGAATCTGCCTAATACTCAAGTCTGGTAACCAGCGCTTGTTTGTCAGTTGTTTTTTCAAGTAAAAATGGAGTTCTTTGGGGGGAAAAAAGTGACTAGTGTAGCTCACTACTGAAATAGCAGAAGTGCTTCTCAGAAGTATGCTTTATATGTACTTTACTTCACACAAAATATTAAAAAGATGTGTACTCAAGGGCAGACATCTAATAGAATTATTACTGCTCTAAAGGGATTTTCCTGAATCAGAATGCCCCTGCTGGTGAGTGCTTGGTGGTGAAGAATACAGCAGCTACTAGTGAAAGGGCAAACAATGTCTTCATATTAGTATGAAAATACTTTTCATGTTGTAGATACCCTGAAAGGATCTTTCTTAATTCTAAAATCTGAAAACTATATTTTTGAAAACCGTATTTACATTAATGGGACTTTGGGTATTGTTTTCTGGAAAGTTTGCAGAAGTCAGGCAGGTGGCTGCTTCTACACACTGGTTACTCCCCAGCTGTTGATTGGTTAACAGTCCTCAGTTTGCTGAAGCTGCCTACAAAGGAGATAGTCTCCTGGGACTTGTTGAAGGAAGAGAGGGTAAAGTTGTTTATTTCTGTCTCTTTGCCCTTTACTCATGGGGACCCTATTATTCTCAGAAAGAGACTCCCTCATTTGAGGATGTTGTGCCCACTCCAGAAACATTAAGGACTCATTCCTTTTTTCCTTTTGAATATTTTTATTTATTTCTTCGTCTGTGTCTTCAAACTGCTCTAATTTTTTTTTTTTGTAAAAAAGTGCTTTTGTCTGACTCTTTTGTTCTCAGTTCTCTTTTAATCTCATGTTTGAGCCTCTTATGCTATCTTTTATCTTTTATGTATGTTTAACCTTTTATCTGAATTCTATTTTTGTTTTAAAATTATTTTTACCTTAATTCTTACCTTTTATTTATTGTAATTTATTATAAATGTTTACTTCATTTTAATGTTTTTTCTAACTGTTCTTGAAATTTTTAGTTTTAGTTCTTTGACCGTCTACTTTAATTTTTTTAAGTGAATTTTCCTTTTACCTAATATTTTTTCCTAACTTATTGTTTTGATTTTGCTTGAATTCAGGGGTTTTAGAAATGGGGAGAGCCCAAACCATAAGCAGAAATTATTCAAGGCTCTTGTGTTCAGCTCTTCTGTAGTTGTCCTGTCACCTCTCCTAGACATTCTTTCTCTTTTTGACACCAATTCTTGGACTGTTATTTTTTTGTAGATATAAATTGAATCATATGGTATGTATTGTTTTCTGTTTGGCATAAAGAAGATAGGTCATCTATCTTCTTTATGATTTCTCCACCTATGAAATGGCAATAGTGTAGTAGTACCTACTTCATAGTATTAAGAGGGTGAGACATGTGGTTAGTGCTAAATAGGTATCATCTGCTATTATAATTCAAATCAGTTAAGAAAGAGTGAGAAATAAACCTCGGTGCAATGATATGGGAAAATTAAAATGAAAGAATTGACCTCACATCTCATTAAATTTACAGCTTTTTGACAGTATTGTCTTTAAAACATCTGTAATATATTTCATTGCTTTTTCAGACAAGAAAGAAAGATTGGGGCTAATTTTGGGGGCTGTCTTTTGATTTGGGTATGTAAAGTTCGTTTTGAGAAGATAACAGTTAGATCCTATCCTCTGCTTTCCCTACCCCTTTTTATAAGAATGTTCTTCATCACAGGGGAAGTTTTCTAAGTGGTTTCTGGTTAGGTTTGCTCAAGAGAGTCTCTAAATAGTGACTGCTTGAGATTTAGTGGCCTAAGAATTTGTTTTCAAGGGGAAATATTAAAACAAGTGGTTTCTTGGACTTAAAACAGCTAGTGTGACTTAACACATTCTATCTCTAAACGAACTACTAATTTGTTAAATTAATACCTTAAACCTTCCTTAGCACTCCAGGAGAGAAAGAGACAGGTGCTCTTAATATTCTTTTTTACATTACTTGTTGTGCTTTTTGAGTGCCTTTGCTGGTTCTTTCTCTTCTTCCTGGGCTCTTTAATGTGTATGTGCCCCAGGGTTCAACCTTTGCACCTATTCTCTATCTCAGTTAACCCCTTGGTGATCTTACAGTATTGCTTGATTCTAAATACCATCTTTATGCCAAACTCGTGGATTCAAATCTTTTT